CAATTTTCATTATTATTTTTTAGGTTTATGGTCTCTTAAAAAAATAAATAATAAATATATATATTTTTTTTTTAAAAAAGTGTGGTTGAATCGGTTTGACCCACCGGTTCACCGGTTGAACCGAAAATTGACCGGTCCAATCCGGTTTGAAACAGGTCGACTGCATAACCGATCTAATTTAAAATTCGGACCGGCTGGACCACCGGTTTCCGGTCCGACCGGCCGGTTCGATCCGGTTTTTAAAACACTGCGAGGAAGAGCTCTATCATCCATAGTGGTCCTATCTGACTTGAACAGGATTACCTCCGGTGGAGGATACCTGTAGTTTAGACCAAAAAAATGACAGGAATCAAAACTTACCTGTGCCATGAACATTGTTCTTGGTGGAATCTTCATGTAGTGTCCAAGTTTGAAGTCTTGTAAAAAGGTTAGTGCTTGAGTCATGCTGATGTAGCCATACACCTTGAAGCACATGTTAGCCACAGGGCGCTCTGGATACATGTAACCAATTATGTATTCTGTGATGATGTTTAAACCAGGTTGCTGTTAAGAAGAAAAAGATGAGCTCTTTGAGAATTTTCCTTAGCACCAATGTAAATTAGCAAGATCAGTAAGTGAAATGTTGGGATACCTGATTTGTAGTAGCTTTTATTACACCAATCTTAAGAGGTGATAAAACATATATTGCACAAGCTAGCAATACACCCCACCAAGGCAACTGGAGTGATTCCTTGTAGTGCTCACAAATGAATATAATAACAGCTATGTTCACTACTAGAATGATGTGAAACCACCACATGGGGACTGATTTGTACCTTCTCATGAGTCTTGTGTGTATGTCAATTTTTTTACTGTCTGCAAATGCCCTTTTACTTTGAATCCATATTTCCCTGCATAGGCCATATGGTAAGTGTAAATGAAATTAATGTTTCAAAAGACAACATATTCCAACACATATAAATTGGAATATGGTGAGGACTGTGCTGAGTTTCATATCAAATATTACTTGAATACTTTCATCTTCTCTATAAGAAGAACTCATTAAAGTAATTGATAACATAAATATGTGGAAATTCAGTTTAGGGCTGAACAAGTTTCTGCTGTTAAAGGAACATAAAACATGTTTGTTGACAAAAACAAACTTGAACTTTAAGGTGTTTAATATAAGTTCAGAATGAAGTCTATTCAAGAGCTACGTAAATGATTTTTCTAAAAGGGCAGTGAGGAGGATATATATCTAAATTCTAAAGTCTTAACACATGTCATATTGATGATAAAATCAGACGATCCAGTTAGTGGCTACCTTCCATGAAAGAGCAGAACATGCACAACTGTAGCAGAGAGTGCTGCGAATCCAAGGCCATATGTCATTGCAAAGAAGGTGCTGAGATGCACAGATCCATTGGTTGCATAAGCTTGCCGATCAAGATGGAAATCCGAGTTGACAATGGTTAAAATGTCATACACTGAACCGTTTCCCATGAACAGCTTACTTGAAAATATTGGATAAGTCTTGGCATCATAGGCGTTTAGCCAGTAAGCAATTGGTGTCATCACATACATAACAAAAACAAAGCCAACAGCAACATTAGCAGTTGCAAACCATGGGCTAGCTAGTGGACTTCCAAGGTAAGCAGAAATTGTAGACCAATCAATTCCAAATGCTGCAATTCCAAGACCCCTCAAGCCAGAACCAAGCTGTTGCACTAGGACAGACTTGGGAGCAACCCAACACATCCAAGAGAATGATGTCAACATTGAAAATAGATAGCCAGGAAACACATAGTAAGCCAAGCCAGAGATCAAGACAAGGAGGAAAAATTGAGTACGTGTTGTGCCTCCTTTAGGCCTTTTTCCTTTCTCATGTAGAGCACTGCATTCATGTACTGGATCAGCATAGTTTCATTCTTTTAAATGGTACTAAGACATTAGTTACATGGAATTCACCTGAATAATGAGACCTGAACCAGATTAGAAGGCCACCACATTTCCCCTGGCTCAACCAAAAATTTCCGGAACAGTCCTGCCCAACCAAACCCCAGCACCTAAAATTGAATAACAAAGCATAACATAGGACAATATCCATAGTATAAGAGTAAACTACGACAATCATTTCCACATAAACTAGGGACTAAACTAAGAATATTATAATCGCAAGCATTATTGAATATCCATTAGCAAATAATAATGGGTCAAAGATGAAACAGCAGATTTGTCGGGACACGACTGAATATTGATTAAAAAAACCAAATATTTTTATCTAGTGAAAATATCAAGAATCATAAAATGTAGGTGATCACAAGGAAGTAATATGGCCAAGTAAAACCAACCTGCACCTTCAACTTGATTTGAATAAGGAAATCGAAAGTAAACGATTTCTCACAAAGGCTTTTGATCTTTTATATTTTGTGTTACAACTTCGAGGAAGAGGGTTAATTTATTGCATCATGTATATTTCTCTCATTACAAAAATCTCTCCCTTGTGTTTGGATGAAGTTTTTTAAGAAGGGAAAAAGTAATAGAACAAAACTTATAGTTACAATACTGATGATATTTTTGGTGCTATTCTCTAATCATAGTCACCTTAATAACATATGTATGTATTATACCAATGTTTTGTAAAGTAATATTCTAGGAGGTTCAAAATTCTTTGGACTATAATTCGTTGTTTGGATATTGTGTTAAGTGGAATTCAAAATTGAAAGAGAAATGGGATCATGGATGAAAGAGAACCTGAGTAGTTAACATGACTAGTAAGGCAGGGAGGAAATCAAGCTTTCTTTTATATATAAGCTTCACTGCACTCAGAATATGAGTAGCATACACAGTTCCAGCACCGGAATTGGCAAAGATGGTTATGAGAACATGTTCTTTGATATTGAAGGGTCCTCTATTGAGTGAGAACTCAAACCTTGTGTCCTTGAAGAACACACGTGTCGGCAAAGTCCTTGCCATGAAGTGGCCAATAGGAACCACAGCAATCTGAGCAGAAACTGAGGTCACACTCAGAGGCTGTGTTCTGTACCAAAAGAACTGGTTCACAAAGGACAATAACACGCATGAAACAATGCCAAGAACCCACATTCTGAACGTGAGAATATGCATGGTGGGGTCATCGGTTTTTGGCACGGTGAGTTCTACTTGTTTCACGGGGCATTCTTGGTCCTCCTTCTCTGTGTCTGAACCACTGACACCCCCAAAAGTGGAAGCCATGGTAAGATTGTCTTTTCCTGAAACTCTAAGAAGATGAAAAAGAGTAGAAATTAAATCTCGTGCATGTAATTATGATATGATGAACTGAAGAAGACCGTGATCATGCGTGAGAGTGAAAAGCTCCTCCTATATAAAGAATAGAGTAGAGGGAATCTTTGTACAAACGATGACTATGATCCCAACAAATAAAGTTGGGTTCATAATATTTAGAATGTAATTAATGCCTTATTATCTCCGTTCACATATATATAATCAACAAATACATTTCTTTTTAATATATTAATTTGATGAATATAATATTATTAAATATATTACTTTCCATTTCAATCTTACGAATTCTAAAACATATTCTTAAAGTAAAATACATAAAAAGACAAAATTCATATAATATTTAATATTATTGATAAAATATTTAATAAATATCAAATAAAAATATTTTTTCTAAAATGTTATTATTTTGTGGTATTTATCTGAGGGGATATTTTATAAGTACTATTTTTATAAGGTTATTTTACACACAACTCTACAATGATGAGATATTGTCTGTTTTGAAACTAAGCCCACGGTTTTACTTTTGGTCATTATCTAAAAATTCTCTCAATCATTGGAATATACTTGTATTTTATAAGTTGTTATTTCTTCTCTTATTTTATTGATGTGAGACTTGTTTGTATCTTAACATATAAAAAATAAGAAAACAAATATACGGAATGAATTTTTTTTTTTTGGTTCATCCCTGCAGCATCTACCGCCGATAGCAGTGACTAATTTCCTCGTTACGTTAAAGGCACCTCAAAGGGTGAGATAGCTGACCCCAAGATTTTAACGCGGCTGCATTAAATCTTGGAGTCAGCTATCCCACCCTTTGAGGTGCCTCCAACGTAGCGAGGAGATTAATCACTGCTATCGGCGATGGATACTCCAGGGACGAAAAAAAAAATTCATTTCGTATATTTGTTTTCTTTATTAAATATTATATTAATTTTTTCCTTTTGTGTATTTTACTATTACATTTATTAAATGTATTATTTTTCATAGGAAAATGTTATATAACCTCCCATTTTTAATACACACCTCTATTTTTTAATTTTTTTCAAAACAATTCTTAAATAGTCTTTTAATTTATTTTTATTTTAAAATAAATTTATTTCAAAAAACTTTCTTTTTCATTCAATTTTTCCTCAACTTTTTTTCTTTGTATACTTTATTTCTCTTTAATCATTCTTAATACATTTCCCTTCTTTTCTTACCTATGAAACTTTTCAAAAGATTAATTTTTTACATAAAAATTTTCTAAAATGCATGTGATCTCCAAAAAAAAAACATGGATGATTTATTAATGGATTCACCTTCTTTGAAATTTCTTGATTAAGGGTCATTTTTTAAATTTAACTTGAATAATTTACAAAACCAACTCTTGATACCAATGTTAAAGTCTAAGCTCACCAAGAAAGGGGTGAATTGGTGTTCAAAAATTTTAAGCACAACAAAAACTCTTTCCTCTCTTTCTCTTGTTTTAGAAATACTTTCATGAAAATTGTTTCTTAAGAATTCTTTCTTGATCTTTTGGAAATGATTAAATTCAAGATACAACAAACAATAACAAGAAGTAAAGTTGTAGGGAAGAAGAAAAATCACACAAGTAATTTATACTGGTTCACTTCTTTAAAAAAAGTTACATCCGATCTTTTGTAATCAGTCATCGTTTATAAGACTTTTACTTTAAGTAAAAGTGTAATTGTAGACCGAATTAATTAGATCAACCATAAATTGTAAGCATTCTTATTACTATGTAATAGAAACTCTTGGCTACAATTTTGGTTAGAAAATTTTTTTCTAACTTATAAACTCAAAAAAACTGTATCTTGAGATACACCTTTCTTACTTAAAATTATAAAACTTCCTAAAAAAATCTACTTGATTTCAACAAAGAAAGTAAGTTTAGAAAAAAGTGTGATGTTGGATCCATTTGAAGCCACACCCAAAGTGATGTGAAATTGTTAATTATGATTATGAATGAATCTTACATTCTCCTTAGTGATGGATCTATATTTGGGTAACATGAGTAATACTTATATATAAATTTGTAACAATATTAAGTACATAACTTCACAATTTTTTAAATATAAATATATATTACAATTATTCTATATAAAAATTTAATTTTAAAATATTAAATAAAAATATAGAGAATTTGTGACATGTAATTTATTTTAAGATATTATAGTATTGGTAAAAGTATTTATTAACTTTATTGAAAATTAATCTCCCTAAAAATTTAGTTAAAATATTAAGAAAAATTAATTTTCAGCGAAATTGATAGATACTCTTTTTAATATATATGATAAAAAAAAAATATACACTACTGTTGAAATCGACAACTTTGAACCATGCACCTCAAATCACAAGTACTTTTTCCCCCTTTGAAATCAACGCCATAAAGTGTGTTTGTATTGTAACATCGTTCAACTTCTTTTTTTTTTAATCCATCGATGTTGTTATTATCTATATTTGCATTGTGTTTGGTAAAATATAAATAGACGTATAGTATTTCTGAAATGGAAATTCAAACACATGCTAAATTATTAATATGTTATTAATAACACACTATTTAATATTAATATACTTTTTAATATACTTTTATCGATTCAAATTTATTAAAAAATATAAAATCATAAAAGAAATTTATTAAATTGATATGAGACTCGTTAAAATTTGTAATTTTAAATAAATTTCAAAAACAAAAGAATGTATAACATAGGATCTTTTTAGATAAATTTTTATCAAAAAAATTTCTAAAATAAAAATAAAAAAGTTTTCTAAAATCTCTTATATTAACTTCTCTTAATTTTTTAATTTATACACAATTAATTTTAACTTATGAAGAGTTTATTTCAATTTTTTCCTATTTTTTCTCCTATTAATATTATTTTAAAACGAATTATCTAAACATGTTGATAATATTTTCATAACATTTCTTATCGCTAATTATTCATATATATATATAGACTGCCCGCAAACAAGGATCATTATGGCAACACAGTAATGAATAATGATTAGGGATATTTAGGGACACATTAATTAAAACTTATTTGTATTTGTATTCACATCTATCGTGTCATATTTGCTTTAGGTCAATAAATATCTGCTTCTACTCTCTATCTTCTTCTTACCTCCTTAGCAAAATTAGTGTTTATGTATGGAATTTATATATTTTTGGATATCATATTTTCTAAAAATATAATATAAATGTGTTTGGTATATCAAAAAATATTCTTGAAAATAAAAATAAAAAAAGCAATTAATTTTTTTATGTGAGCATTTTGCATATTCACTTTCTTCTATGACATTTTTTTAATGAAAAACATGGTTAAAAAATAATTTCTGAAATTATTATATTCTTGATAACATTTTTTTAAAATTTCATACCAGACATAGAAATATATTATTCCCAACCTAAGATTCCTAATGAACATAAAAGAATTTTCGTGTCAAAACACCCATGTGACATTTGATTAGTGTAAAATATGTTTCCATTGACAACATTGGAAGGCAATGTTTTAAATTAAGAAATGAATCTTCTTTTTTATTTGCTAGATAAAAATATAGAGAATGAATTACAATATGTACAGTTATATGAAATTTGGATACGGCTAGCTAGATCCATATATGTGATTGCCCTCCCCCATCCCCTCCTCTCTTTTCACATTGCTATAAATATTCAAATGTAATATATTCTTAAGATAAAACAAAAATGTTATGTCATCTAAGAAAGCAAAAGCAAACACTAGAAACTGTCGGGTTTACACCTTTGAATGATCATCTGGTATTTGCTACCTTCCTTGACCACAACTAAAATTGAGAGGCTTTGTTTGGAAAAAAGACTCACCATTCCACACATATGGACAGATTTTGCTAGTTTCTAACATTATGAACATGATATGTAACTTATGCATGGAAAATATAACCGACGTGGTATGATATGGTTGACATAGTCATACTTTTAAAACATGAGGTTAAAGATTTGAGCATTAAGTTCGTATATGTCTAGGGTTTATTAGGGTTTCCACACATATGGACAGATTTTGCTAGTTTCTAACATTATGAACATGATATGTAACTTATGCATGGAAAATATAACCGACGTGGTATGATATGGTTGACATAGTCATACTTTTAAAACATGAGGTTAAAGATTTGAGCATTAAGTTCGTATATGTCGGCTTCTTGAAAGATATTGATACCACTCTAGAATCCATTCACCACTTAAACATGCATGATTGATGCGAGTGATATTAAATTTAATTTTTTAAATAAATTTTTGAGTTAAAATTTAGTGAATAAAAAATGTGATTAGAAATAGGACCCATTAAGGATAGTTAGCCAAATTTTTTAACAATATTAATTATTAATAAAATTGATAAATATTTCATACCACTAATATAATTATTAAAAAAATATAATTTATATATTTTTTTACTTAATTTCTTTTCTCTAATATTCGTATGGTTGCATTGTAATAATAATAACTGTAAGTAGAGATATTTTCCACATTATACTCTATATTATTTATTTTTATTCTATAATTTGTATCAAAGATTAATAATCAAATAATAAATATTTTATTATATTCATCATGATATGTAAACAATGATAATTTCGGTGGTTTGCAAGTTGGTTCCATTGACAAAACTAGAGGGTCCACAAGAGTTGGTTTCCTTTTCCCTTTTCCCATTTGATTATACTTTTCTTCTTCATGGCAGTGTTTGCCATTTTCTTTAAAAATGAATCTTATATACTAAACTTTCAAGTTCTAGTATTAACCAACTTTCTTAGGTATGTAACTTTTAGTCACCAAAAATTGAAATTCAGATTAGACTTGATAAAAACTAAGTAAATTCATTTTAAGGGGTAAAGTTTTTTCCAATAGAGAAATCGAACATAAATGAAAAATACTACAAAAAGAATTGAAACTCTTTGTTTGATATTGTATTATATTCTAGTACAACTAATATTATATTCTCTTACAAACCTTCCGACACGTCTTAATACTTGAAGAACAAAATACTAAAGAAAAAAATACATTTATTGTCTTTCAAAAATTAACATTCAAAATTTTCTTTATCAAGTAAATAAGAAGATTAATAAAAAAAATTAAGGAGACATTTGATAGGGGAAGAAGTTTTTTCA